TCCCAGAATTCCCCAGCCAGCCATGCTGGCTGGGGAATTCTGGGAGTTGAAGTCCACACATCTTCAAGCTGCCAAGGTTGAGAAGCACTGGGCTGGTGGGTTCCCTTTTCAACTGAGAGAAAATTAGAAGGAAAATCAAAGGCATGGATATTGATTTCAACCGAAGGGAGATTTTTTTAACCTGGTAAAAAGAATATATTTCTTCCGTGTAAATCAGAAGCAAAGTGTGCTGGGCAAGGAGAGAAACATTGTCTTATGTCACCGATGCAGACCAAGAAGTTGTTTTCAGTTCCCCAAAGAGCTTCTGCGGTATAATTTGCTGAAATTAAGTGTTGCTGGCCATAGGGAGGTGTGTTCCATTCGTAAAAATGGAGGGCTGGCAGTGCCCAGGGTTGACCAGTATTTCAAACCCAAAGATTCCTCTTTCAAACCCCAGAAGCCCTGAAACCTCCTTTGAAAAGCTGTACTTGCACTGAACTGTCCAACAATTTTTCATCAAATTGAACAGCTTTGTAAAAGAAAACCCAAATTTGACCCATTCCCTATTTTTGTTTCCAAATAATCACTGATTACAAAATGTTTTAATAAATTATCTATTTTCCATAATGCTATTACCGGACATCAACGTTGTTCAAGACTTTAAAATTGCTTTTATATCACTGGAAGTTTTTTAAAAAGATGCATCGTCTCTCCCATTTTCAGCAGCCCTAGTACAATGGGGTTAGGTGCTGCGGGGGGGCCAAAAAGGTCAAGATGGCACGCTCAATTGTAGGGTCCCCGTCTCCATTTTAATTTTTACTTAATTCATTTTAATGAATCCATTTTAGTTAACCTCTCTGAGGCCATCCCTGACTGAAGGACTGGTTCAGTTTATCTCAGGTGACTTGCTTTCCTAGCAATTGGGGGGCTAGCAAAAATGTAAAGAAAATAGTTTAAATAAAGTAAAAGCAATGGCGTCTTCATAAGAAAAATCACCTGTGGTTATGAATGTAATTATACACCTAATAACGTTGCATCAGATTGGAGCTGCATTTAAATGTGTGTACATTTTGACTTCCTACAGTTTTTCCCAGAACAAAAAAGAGAATAACGCCTCCTATTCATCTTGCACTTCAGCCTTGTTCTATCTACTTGAAAATATTGCTAGAAATGCAGCTTTTGGGATATTTTCATACAAATACAGGAAACAAGCCCCATTTATTTTAAATATTTTATTTTGTGTTCTCTTTTCAGGTTAGTCTCAAAAAGCAAAATTAATTTATCATTAATTTAAGATTCTCCCCTGCCCCCCAAACTGGGGTTTAAGAAGTTTAAACTGGTTAAGTATTTGCTTCATTGGTGAAGCATGGAATTAATGTTCTGTGATTTACAACGGCCTCCACATGTCACCTCTTAGATCAGTGTTGCTCAACCTTGGCAGCTTTAAGATGTACCAATTCTGTTTGTTTGAAAGAAAATCTCCCTGCGAATGAACAATATTGCATTTTAAAACTCAATAGCTCTTTCTTGATTGCGGCAATAAAAGAGACTTTACATTTTTAAAAGAAAAATACAGCGAGATTTCTAATCGTGCTTGTATCTGACCAGCTACCCAACAGTATGTTTTTTAAAAAAGAAAAAGAAAAAAAAAGAATATTGTGGCAAGCAACCGTTGCTTATTTTTATTTATTTATAAAATTGATAGACTGCTTCAGTCTAAAAGAGTCTCCTTTTTAAATTAGATCCCAAAGCAAACGGAATTGTTTTGCCCTCAGATTGCACAATCAAATCTCTCTCTCTTCAAATTGCCAATCTCCAATTTGAATTGAATCAAGGCTAATTTGCAAAACCCTAACAGAGAAACCCTTTAATGCTTCTTTGCATGCTCACAAAAGCTTCTGCCTTTTAATAAAATATGTAAATCAGAAAAAGTGCTACCAGACTCCTCCTTTGGCTTCCATAGATACACATGAATCTCCTTCTGCACTGCCTGCTGTTTGCTAATGATGGGCCCATCTAAGCTGCAGTCCCATTCAAGAAGATACTATTTCTTTCGATGGAGGGGGGATAGGGACATCTTCAAGGCCTGATTTCCACCTTGGATGGGAACAAGATCTTCCTTCATGCTAGTCCTCTGCACAGCTGCTCCCTACATTTTTTGCTTTAATCCTGCCTTGGTCTTCAGAGATGTTCTGCAGGTGATTAAACTGTGTGTTCAGTTTGGACAAATCATGGTCTCAACTGTTCTGTGGGCACCTGCGTTCCTTTGCATGATAGATGTTTCTCGCTATTGACTAAAGTATCCTGCTCTGTCATACATATGTTTTAGCTTCTCTTCTTCCACAATCCCTGCCATAATTTGATGAGGTTAGCTAGGCCGTGGAAGAGGTCTGATCCCAACACAACTTTCATTCCAAATCTCCTGGTTTGGCTTGATATCATCCAGAGGCTTACCTGCTCCAAACTTGATTGTCACTAAAATTGATCAGACTGAGCAAAAGCTCTGCTTCTCATCTGAAGCTTAGTAAAATACTCATTGTCATAATAATAGGATATCTTTAAAGGAACAACAGGGCTTGTCTTACATTGTTATGACTGAACCATCAAGTGGAAACTCTGTCAACTCACATCTTCCATTCTTGATGAATTCACTAAGGCCTCAAACAGTTTTGGTGTCTCGGCTGCAAAAGATGGATAAGAATACAAACATACTTCAGGACTTTTACAAGGATTGAGACATTATTAAACATTTTGAATACTTAGGCTTACTGCACTAATGCTAGATATTTTCTACTCTTTTATTATTATTGTTATTACTATGAAAAGCTGAAAAATATGTATAGATACACAGACGTTTATGTATACCTTCCAACCATACCATTCAAGATTATTTATGAAGAACAGTTATAACGTAAACAGTCAACTGCATCAACTTCTTTGCTAAAATCCATTAAGAGAAACATACCTTATTCCAGGCAAAAATTAGGTCAGGACTGCTCACATCATGGTGAGGTGGGCCTGGAAGTTCTCTCTTGGCAACTCAAGAGCAGAATACGTAGATATAATTGGAAGGGGGAGGTAGTTGGGAACTGTGGCCCAGAAATTGAATGATCAATGCTGTGCACAGTCCTGTCTGCTTCCAAGTAAAAGATGCGAGCAGTAAAAATGTCCTACCAAGCATTTTTGAGATTCTTCTTCAAACAGGACTAAAAAGAGCTGAATTTACAGAACAAGGCTTGGGCGTGTACTTGTGATTCTTAAATAGAAAGGGAAACAACTCACTCTGGGCAGGAGCAAGGCTGCGCTTGAGTTTTCTGTGTTGGCATGAATCAGCCTTTCACTTTGCTGAAAGATTTGTGTTATAGGCGTGAGCTTCTCAACTTTTAGAGGATAGGGGTTTGCTGAATTGATGATGGTAGTGAGAACCCAAATGGAGATTTTTGTCCCTAGATTACTGTTCTTCCAAAAAAGAGAGAATGTATCAGTCTTCGAGTTATGGATTCATTGGTAACCCTCTCATAGTTTGTCTAACCTCCATCTAACTCTTTTTCCATTTAAATGTTAAGGAGCTCTTCCCTCTTTCTATGCTATAAATGTTTTATAATGATTATTGTCTGTTCCCCCCCATACTTCGTTTCCCTCCTGATTTTACCTGAATCACAATCAACATTTTATCAATTTCTTCCTGTATTCAAACTAATAAAAACAGAACTGTTGCTTTTTAGTATCAGGACTGCAAATGGAATTATAAATCAACCAAATTACAGTAGGACATGTTAATAGAGATCTTTCCTTTTCCAGTGAATTATTTCCAGCTCTGTGAGGACTTGCTGAAACCCAACACAATTTATTTGCTTGTTTCCATTCATGTACTACCAGAATCCAATAACTCCTGGTGGCTTACACACATAAAAGTATGAAACTCTAAAAGCCAAATCATCGACAAGCATAAATGCAATCCATCAAATAATGTCCACCCATCTAAGGCTGCCCCAGCTTTCATAAGCCCCCATCTTGATGGCTTTCAAAATGATGCCTGGGTTGTCACTGACCTAACCACCAGGTGGAAGCTATTCCATCAGGCGAGCCCACACCAGTCTTATTTCCCATGTCAAGACAACCTGCAGCATTCTCATCTAGGACAAGTTTACAGGATGTCTCAGTACTACCCGAAGAAAGTGGCCCTTCAGGGACCTTGGATCCAAGCTTTAAAGATCAGAAACAACACTTTGGATTGTAGCTAGAAACCAGGTGGGAGACAAATCATCTCCTGCAATGCAGGTGGAATTTTCTGTAATGGCTTTCATCCATCAGCAGGTAGGTTGCTACATTCTACATCAGCTGCTACTTCTGAGTAGTCTTCAAAGATAGCCCATGCACAGCTCATTGCAGTAATCTGTACTGTTGGTGATAAGGACATGAGTTACTATCATGAGGCCTTCTCTTTCAGTAAGGTGGCAAATGGCACATCATGTGAAGTTGGGCATAGACACCCCCTGGTCATGGCCTCCACACCTGCTCATCCAGTGGTAGCCATGAATTCAGGAGGACTTCAGGAGGACTCTCAGACTACTTGGAACCTTTCTAAGGAGGAGAAGGATTCACTAGGAAATGTTTTCTTAAAAATGCTTGTTACTACCCATTGGTTGCTGGGACATAATACCAGTTTGTGTGGACTCAGGAGGTTGGGGTGCTGCTCCGTTGTAAATGCTAAGAATTGTTTGAAATCTTCTTCATGTTCTCCTGCATCTCTAACACAGTGAAGTAGAGCCTAAATAGACCAGAGATGACCATCAGCTGTACGCTCTAGACACGATCTTGACAGCTGAAGCTGCGTCACTGAGAACATTTACATTTTCCTTTGTGGTTAGCTCTAAAATAAAATCTGGATCACTAATAGTAAGAGCTTTTCATATGTTTTCCCCACCCTCTGGGGTGAAAAGTGGAGGGCTCCTTGTGTTACCAGCTACTTCTTTCCTTCCTTGGTGTATTAGCTTTGCTAAATAAGGAAGAAGAATGGGTGGAAAAACATATGAGGGTTACAGATGGAAGATGGAGTCATCTGAATCTCCTAGCTGAACATCTTCCAGGAACAAGCATATAAACTTCCCTTCGTCAGTAATCCTACCCCACCCAGCAAAGTATGAAAACACAATTGGAGGATGTAATTCTGGCAGGACAGAGAGATGTAACAGCCATTCAGAAATTCTGCCATAGTGGCAGGGGATGGGGGGAGTGTAGAATTGGTCCTGGATTCCATCAAATGGTTCCAGGCAAAGTCACTGGCCCAGCTTCTAGACCAAAGTTTCTCAACCTTGACAACTTCCAGATGCGTGGATTTCAACTTCCAGAATTCCTCAGCCAGCAGGAGCCAGTTTTTCAACCTTGTCAACTTTAAGACATGTGGACTTCATGGCTGGCTGGGGAATTCTGGGAGTTGAAGTCCACACATCTCAAAGTTGCCAAGGTTGAGAAGCACTATTCTAGACAGTGCACAATTGGGCCATAACTCTAATTACAGAATGTTTAAATCCGTACAATCTAAATTTCTCAGAGCAGTTTTCAGATGGAACCTGGGAT